TCATTTTTTTAAAATATTCTAGTTCTATAGTAGTATTCTCCAATTAAATCTATTTTCTTTTTTTTTTAAGATTTTATTTATTTATTTGACAGAGAGAGAGAGCACAAGCAGGGGGAGCAGCAGGCAGAGGGAGAGGGAGAAGCAGGCTCCCTACGGAGCAGGCAGCCTGATGCAGGGCTCGATCCCAGGACCGTGGGATCATGACCTGAGCCGAAGGCAGACACTTAACCGACTGAGCCACCCAGGTGCCTCTAAATCTATTTTCTTGATCATATTATCAATGTAGTTGGGGAGTCCATGTTTGATGAATCTTATTATGGGTTTGGTTTTTTGTCTCAGTTTTTGATCATTTGGTCTTGTCTCCTTGCATGCCTGGTAATTTTTATTAAGTGCTAAACATTGTATATGAAAAATTGTGGAAACTCTGGAAGGTAATACCTTCCCCAAAAGAAAAGTTACTTTTCTTCTGCCAGGTGGTGATACTAGAGGTAAATCACTTTGAACCAATAAGGGATAATTGGATGACAAATCAGGATCTATTTGGTTTGCCCATACTCTAAGGGAGTAACCTTTCAAAGGTCTCAGTTAAAAGCCTGGTGTGTTTACCAAGGATTCTCATCCTTGACAGACCATGAACTCCAATTTTCACCTCCCTAGTACTGAGAGATTGCCAAAAGCTCTGCTTCATTTATTGTCTTCTTAGCTACCTCCCTGTGTTTGGCTTCTCTCACTCTCACCTCGCCCAGCTTAGGTATCACCAAACTCCTCAAAGGTTGTAATTGTCAGCAATGTCAGGCTCACTCCTCTGTGGTTCTCATAGCTCTAGGATCTCTGCTCCTTGGGTTCTAGCTGCCTTAGTAACCCTGAACTCCAGTTTTTGTCTCCCCAGCCCAATGAGATTAGATAAACCCTAAGCTGTTCTTTTTCCTTCTGTGCTTAAAAATTGGCAGATGTTTTGAGGGGCAAAGTGGCAAAAGTCAGACTTAACTCAGTCCATGTCTCATCTCTCTGGGATCCTGGGCCCTCAAGCCCTCCCTTCGTTGCTGTCTGATACTTTAAAACAATGTTTTATAGCTTTTATTTTGTATTGTGATAGTGAGATTAACCAAAATTACAAACTATCCCATCATAGCTGGAAGGTGAACTCAGTTGAAGAGTTTACTACGTACTAGGAAAAATGACTTATTTTTATTTTCTCCAGTATTGGAGAAAAATGCAACTCTAAACCATATTAAAAGGAAGACTCCAGATGAATTAAAGACTTAAGCATGAAAGTTAAAATTCTAAGTGAATATGGAAATATAAACAAATTAAAATATGGACACATTTTAATATCCTAGGGTTAGGGAAATAATTTTACACCTAGAAAAAAAATACTGGGCAAATATATTAGAAAATTTTTGATCTCCAAGACACCATAAATAAAGAAAATGAATGGAAACTTAAGGAAAGAAGTTTACAGCATCTAAAACCAGCAATGAACACTCCAGCAAATCAGCAAGAAAAGACAAAAAGAAAACCCAGTAGAAAAAAGGGCAAAGATAAAAGATATAAATAGTTCCCAGAAACTCACATGTTGCACAGTTATGTGACTATGTGCTTAAACTCACTAGTAATCATGGAAATACAAAGTAAAACAAGTACGATATCACTTTCCACCCATCCCCTGACAAAAATTAGAAAGCTGGAAATGCCAAATGTTAGCAAGAATTTATGAAACTAGAACACTTATGCACTTTTTTTTAAGTAGGCTCCATGCACAGTGTGGAGCCCCGTGCAGGGCTTGAGCTCATGACCCTGAGATCAAGACTTGAGCCAAGACCAAGAGTTGGACGTGTAACCAACTGAGCCGCTCAGGTGCCCCTGATTTATATACTCCTGACAGGAATCTAAATTAGCACAGGAATTAGTGAGGAACTGTCTACTAGTACTTGGTCAAGTTCAATTCACATATACCCAATGACAGAAATCATCCTTGTATATATATACATTTAAGTATGTGTGTGTGTGTAACACACATATACAGATAACATTATATATATGTGTGTGTATATATATATATATATATTTTTTTTAATGAAGATGTTCGTTGCAGCATTGTTTATAGTAGCTGAGAGATGAAGGCTTCCTGGATGTTTATCACTAGGGCAATACATAAATACAATAGAGCGAATACACAGTATGGAATTCTAACTATAAGCTAGATGCCTATTCAGCAACATGTACACATTATAAAATCATAGTGCGGAGTGGAAAGAAAAAGCCTAAAAACAGGACAAGATCTCATGTACAGCACTATTCATGTAAATTAAAACACAGTCACACATAAAACAATACAGCATCATTTTATAAGGGGATATATTTACATATTTAATACATTAGAGTCATCATCTAAGATGGGGTGGAAAAATGAGAATAAATGGGAACTTTTAAAAATTTTGTTTGACGAAGCTAATCGCTCAATTATAGATTTCCTCCTTCCCTCCCTCCCTTCCATCTTTTTCTCCCTCCCACCCTTCTGCAGATGGTAACAGGATGACAGAATGAACAAGATTCCGTGTCAGGTGTTGTGGGGGAAATAAAGGTGATTTCCATGTTGGCTTGGCCTTCAAGGATGTTAGGCAAAAGTCTACAGTGAACACACCAAAAGCCTTAGTTAGCACTACTCTGTCCCAGAGTTAGAACTCATAAGCCCCTTCCTTCTCTGAGCTCCTGAGGATGACAGCAACTCTTGGTAAAATAAATAAGCAATGCGACCGAGGCCAGAAGTCACAGTGCTCCTTCTTTCCCCGTTGGGTAAATGTTTCCCAGCTAACATAAAGATATAAACACTAGGAGCTTACTTGTGTGGAATTCTCTCATCAGATTAAAAAGTGTATATAAAGTACTTCCTATGTGCAAATCCTAGAATAAGAGATTTCTTTGTTGTTGCTTTTTTTTAATTATTAAGTGTTTCGGGCCCACAGAGATGTGCAGTAGCCACATCACAGTGGTATGCCCACCATCCTGTTTCCAACTAAAACAGGGGTTGGCAAACTTTTTCTGCTAATTACTAAATAGGTTCAGCTTTGCGGGTCTCTGTCACACCTACTGTACTCAGAAGGTGCAGTGTGAACATAGCCCCAGATGATCCAGTCAACCAACGAGCAGGACTGTGTTCAGAGAACACTTTGCTTATGGACACTGCAGTTTTCACATGTCATCAGAAGTTATCCTCCTTTTGGTTTGTTTCCAACCATTTAAAAATGTGAAGGCCAGGGCACCTGGGTGGCTCAGTCAGTGAAGTGTCCGGCTCTTGATTTCAGATCAGGTCACGATCTCAGGGTGGTGGGATTGAGCTTCGTGTTGGGTTCAGCACTGGGTGTGGAGCCTGCTTGAGATTCTCTCTCTTCCTCTCCCTCTGCCTCCCTTCTCTAAAATAAAATAATAAACAATAAAAATGTGAAAGCCATTCTTAGCTCACGGGTAACACAAAAAGGTGGGCTGGATTTGGATGGGCCACAGTGGGTGTCAACCCCTGAACCAAACGTTACAAACTCAGTTGAAGCCCCCAGGGTACCACTTTCCAAAGTGCCTTCCCCCTACCATCCCCAGAGTCAGTCATTCTCTGAAATTTGTTTTTCATCCTATACATACTATCATCTGTGTATTGCATGTGTGTGTATCCTTAAACAGTATATAGTATTGATTTGTATGTTTTGCACTTCATAGAAACGGTATCATACTTTGGGTACCCTTCTGCCTCTTTGCTCAGGACTTTGTCCGTTCTGCTGTGTGTGGAGCCCCAGCTTAGTCTTTTTCACTCCTGTATGATATTCCACCATGTGTACACACCACCTGTAATTATTCTTTCTCTGGGAATGCACGGGCATTTAGGTTGCTGCCCCCAAAGACCTTTCCTTATAGCCACCTGTTTTCATCCTCACCATGATCTTTCCAGGGAGGTACTTTGATAACGCCATTGTCCAGATGAGCAAGCTTTTCACTTAGAGCGGTTTGGTAGCTTTCTCAAGGTAGTGAGGAGCGAAACTGAAATTTGAATCCATGACCTTTGTACGATGGAATCTGAGCTTATAACCACTTTGCCTTCGGTCGGTATGTTGTGTTTTATTAAAGTAATGATAACAGATCCTCCCAACAATGACCTTGCAATACTAATGTGCTTAGCCTTTCTCTGAGGACACCTTGAATCAGTGCCAAACGTTATTGGTTGTAGCTTAGCCCTTGGGAAACCACCAGGTACGGTATTATACACATGAACCAGAAACCTCACTTCCTAACCATGGTGGGGAGGAATTTAGGAGGAATAAGTACTGGCATGGTGCAAGGACTGAACAGGTTTCAATAAAAAATGAGAAAGACCCAGGAGACTTGTCCCACACTTTCCCTGCCCCCATAACATTTTACCAACATCGTGAGTAATTCAGGAGCTAGCGTTTCCTTCCTTGGTGGGGACCAAGGTGATGGGCTGTGGAGTCTGGCCGCCAAGAGGGACTTGTTAAATATTACAGATGCCTTCCGAGCCTCTGTCTGTCCCTCCACCTAACACCATGTCCATTTTTCCCTCGAAACTGCAGTCAACCGCCTCTGCTCCCTAAGCCTCTGCTTTTGGGGACCCAAACCCAAACTCTCCTTCCCCACCTGTCTCTCTCTCTTCCTCCGCTGGGAAGGCTCCCTAGCTCCCTCCAGCTCATTCAGATGACATTTAAAAGAGACCAGAATATAATTTTTCTAATGGCAAAATACCGTATGAAGGAGGGGAAAGTTTTAATCAAGTGGGTATATTCTCCGGAGGGGAGCAAGTACTTCATTTTAATTCCTCATTTCCCTTTGATGAAAAGTTTAGTGAATTTTTATTATGTAGAATTTATAAGACGGCTGGGTTTAGGTAATCAGCTTTAATATTTATACTCTTAGGGAAAGAAATAGGAATCATTAGTAAGCCTGCATAATTAATGAATAAATTATATTTCCCTTTGTTTTCTTTCAGGTACAAGGAAATGCTAGAACTGGTGATCTCACCCAGCCTCACTGGAAACAGAGATTGTCCGGGTAAACCGAAGCTTAACCGTGCCGATGCCGATGTCTGGACTCTGAGTGACACAGAAGGTAGGCCTCCCGGCGTGAGTTTTGGTGGACCTGTGGTGGTCCCGCTTGCCCCGTGGAATTTAGTTAAGGGACTGACAGCCTTCGACACGTGTCCTTTCGCAAGTACCGTCATTATGACAGTTTCTCCTCTCGCCATTGGGATTGTTGCCTCTGGACCAGAACTTTGGCGTGCATTGCTAAGGATTCTGTCTAGTCATTAGAGGGGCAAGTGTGCTCATTCGTGTTCTGAACTTCCTGTGCCGAGAAATGCTGACACCTCCGCAGACGATAGGCAGTGTCGGGTGTGTTCCAGGGCCCAGCCCTGGGTGTGTCCTGCAGGGTCGTGGCTCCAGCTCCGAGTCTGTCCCCCAGCGCTGTCCCGCCATCACGCATCCAGGCAGGCGTCTTGTTTACGAAGGTTTGACGTTGGGACAAGAACTCATCTGCCTTTTGCTTTCAGGTTGGGTTAGAGTCAAGGAAGCAGAGGAGAGTTAAGCTGTTTAAAAAATTATTGGCAAATGATGCCGCTGAACTAGTTTTCACTAGAACAATTCCAGCTATTGTTTGCTCTGTTTGGGATCTGTCAGCCTTCCTGGGAGAGCTGGGAGTTAGCAGAAGGCATTAAGCTATTATGTTTAACCATTGGGCTTAACCCTTTATGTGGCCAGCTTTGGGGATTTGCCGCTGGTGTCCTAGGACCTCGGGCTGTCTTTCCTTCACCGCCTGTGATTGATGCCAGCTCAAGGGACACAAATGCTGCCTAACTGTCGTGGAAAACCAGAGACTTGTGTCTAGTCAAATACAGCATCGCAAGGAATTTGCTTTTCAGCAACTGCAGGCTACTGGGAATAATTCTTGCTGTCACCAGGACAATGACATTTCCCTTGCATGCTGGTAATGAAGCTGGGACAAGCCTACTCAAAGTACCACCAAGAGGGTCTGGGCTCCCCCACCAAACCACATGCTAGAGAACACACCCTCAATCTTGGCATTTTGGAGTGTCCGTGTAAACCACTCTGGGCTCTGTGAGAGTTGGAGACAATTTGTTAAGCCCCGTTCAAAAGCAGTCATTCTCTTATTTCTGAGTAGAGCTACTCTTCAACCTAGGGCTTCATTTCAGAGCCGGGAGAGCTAGGAGGAAGCTGCCGGGTGAGGAAGATCCAAGTCTGAATCCTAGCCCCACTGCTTCCCAGCCAAATGGCCCCCGGCCAATTGTTTCACCTTTCTGAGCCTCCATTTTCTCACCTGTCAAATGGGGGCGTAGTCACGACCCGCTTCAGAGGATGCCTATTGCTGCCTGGCACACCTGAACGTGTGGTACCGTGGTTAAACATAGTATTGCGCGGTCATTCTCCGCTGAATCAAATCACCACGGGGAGGGTAGAACCAGGGTTGCCAACTGGCAGCTCACGGCCAAGTCTGGGCCTCATGAATGCCTTTGTTTGCTTTACACTGTAATAAAATAAAAATAAAAGTAAACTTGTAAAAATCAGGAGTGCTCACATAAAAATCTGGATTTCTAGTTGCTCTTAAAATGCGGACCGCCTTGTAGACGCGGGGCCCACGTTCCCACCTGGCTGCCACTAGTGGGAGCTGAGGAGCAGCTGTCCCTGAGATGAGTCCTGGACACTTCCTTTGTCCTTAATTTTGGTGAGCACATACTTTGCGCCAGGCACCATGGAAAGCTGTGTGACTGCAGATTAACCCTCCTACTGTCTGTCACAACAGAGCAGACACGCAGCACTGGCTGTGTGCCAGGCATGGTTGTACAAACTCACTGAATCCCCACAACCCCTGGGAGTGGGGACTGTGGTTAACCTTTGTGTTACTAGTGAGGGAACTGAGGCACAGAGGGGTCAAGAGACCATGAGGTCACCTGATTGAGATAACACAGTTCAGTGACAGCCAGAATTTGAACCTAGGTAGTCTAACTCTGAAATCTCTTCTCCTAATCAGCACACTATAATGTTTCTCATTGAGTTATGACACCCTTATTAGGCTATGAGCCCATCTTACAGATGTGTAAGTTGAGGCACAGGGGGATTAAATATTAAGTAAGCAGCCTAAAGACACAACTAGTGGCAGGGCCAGGAGTCAAACCCAGGTGCTCAGGCTCGAGTCCCCACTTCTAAATTTTAGACTCATTTTCTGCCAAGCCCTTAAGAGTCCTCAGACCCCAGATATTTGTCCCCACAGTGGTGGACATCTCTCTCCTGTCCACATCCTTTCCGCTGCCCTGGCAGGCAGAGCCAATAGGGTCAGGTTACACACACGTACACACACGCACACGTACACACACACACACACTTCTTTCTCTTGAGATGGGTGGTGAGTTCCTGGGCTCTGCAGGGAACATTCCACCCTAGCTGCAGTCTCTAGTGCTGGATTCGTCAGCTGCCCTTCCAGCCTGGGCCCTTCTGTGACCCTTCTGTGACAGAGTCATTATTGACTGACTGCAGGGATCCAGATCCAGGGAGGACCCCAGGGGGGCAGGAGCAAGGGGGCCTCCATTCAGGGGCTTCTGGAGGGAATGTGAAATCCGGAAATACCACGGTGGTTCCCGCTGCATTCGTGCGGTCTCTTACCACCTCGGGGCCCCTGGTCTGGTCACCCAGACTCTTTGAAGTTTATTTGCCTCATCTGTTAAAGGGGAGTATTCTTCCACTGAGCTCCCTGAGTTGATTATAAGGATAAAATAGTTAAAACATGAAGAGGACTTAGCATTTCTTAAAAAGTATAGAATAAGATCTAATTTCCTTACCCTTGGCCACCAGGCTCACCTGTCTACCCCCACCAGCCTCTCAAACGCAGCTCGTCCCCATCCCTTTGCTCAGTAGACCTAGCTTCAGCCTTGTTTCTTTCGGTGTAACTCAGGAACTTGATGCTGCCCTTGGGGCCTTGGCCCATGCTGTTCCCTGGGCCTGGACCAGTCTCCCCCGTCTGTGGGACCATCCCTCAGCCTTCAGTGCTCATCAGAAAGGTCTTTTCCTATCAGAAGTAACGGTTCATTCACTCATGCGACAGGTGTTTTCTCAGCCGCGTGCCCGGCATTGTTTTAAAAGGGCATACTAAAGCCCCTGCCTTCCTGGAGCCTATTCTAGGGGGCCGGCCGGCCAGAGGCTGATGATAACAGTAAATAAGCAAAACACAGAGCATGTCAGGCGGTGATACGTGCTATGGGGAGGAGGCAGGGGAGAAAGCAGGGAAGGAGGATAGGGAATGCAGGGGTGTGTGGGGGTGTCCCTGGGAACGTAACACTTGAGTAAAGACCTTAAGGAGATGAGGGAGGGCGTTCGTGTCGATGTGGAAGAAGAGCCTCATACACAGAGGAAACAAGTGTAAACGCTCTGGGACAGCAGCGGCGTCCCCAGAGCACCTGAGGAGCAGTAAGGAGGCTAGCGTGGCTGGAGCCCAGGGAGCCAGGGGCCGTGGGGGGAGGAGGTCGGAACAGTGGCCAAGCTCAGACCTCGCCAGACCTTGAGAGCCACGGGAAGAACATTGGATCCTACCCTGAGTGAGATGGGAGGCATGGGAGGGTTTGGAGCAGAGGAGGAGACCTCAGATCTGTGTATTAACAGGACCCCTCGGGCCATTTGTGAGAAAGACGGGGGGTGGGGACTGAATGGGGGCCCACGGGCCAGCGAGGGAGGCGTTCCAGTGACCCAGGAGAGAGGTGCTGGTGCCTTGGACTGGGGCAGGGAGAAGGGGCAGATTCTGGACCAGATTTGAGGGTGGAGCCGACAGACACCCACCCACACCGTTCTCTGTCCTGTTTTCTTTTCATCACCCTAGTCTCTGTCAGAAGGCACATGTTTGTTCACCTGTTGCTTATTGGGCTCCCGGCCTGAATGTCAGTTCTCAGGAGGCAGACTTTATCTCAGTCACCTGGGTATCTGCTCTGCTGAGAGCAGGGTGTGACACCTCGCAGGTGCTTCCGAAGTCCTCCGAATGAGTGAGGACAGAAGATGGAGCCCTCCCTGTGACTGTGAGCGCTCCCCTCTGTTGGCCTCCCATGCTTTCACACCTCACAGCCCTTGCCACCCTGCACCCCTGCCCGAGCGCCCTTCCTTTTCCTCTGTTTCTCCCTGACACATCGGTTTCTGCTCACCGGCTAACACATAAACACACAGTCCTTACAAAGACTGGAAACTCTGGGCCACATCTATCCAAGCTCAGTCTCTCTTCCCTTCCCCGGAAGTAACCACCGTATCCTGTTTTGTGTGCATCTTAAGGCCTTTTTGTAAGAATCACATTTGTGTCAACATTTACTTATGTGACTTACGGGCGTGTATTTTTATATATTTAAACATGTATGTTTACTATAAAAATTATAGTATCGCTGGAAAAAAATCTGAAACACAAAACAGTCGCATACTGTGTATTTGCTATAACTTGTTCTGCTCACTCAGGACACATTGAGTAACGATATAATAATATACCAAAGAATGACGGTGCCCCAGTTCATGAAGCCATACCCCTGTGGAGGAACATGAGGTTATCTGTACAGACAATGCTACCAGGGGTGTGGTCATGCAAGCTACTGTTTGAACACGTGCCCTGTTTCTCTAGGGAAGAGGCTGAGAGGTGAAGGGCAGCGTCCCAGGGCTCCCTTCCCTGTCCTTTTTGCCTTACAAACTCCCCCTCATCAGTGCTGCCTCTGCCTCATCGCAGAACCTCCCGAGCCCCTCCAGAGGGTTGGTAGTTTCTCGTGTATTCCTTCATTTCTGCAGCCATGTGGTCAGCAGGTTGTTTGATGAGCCTGCTGTGCACAAGGTGCTGGGGACCCCCCTGCTGCCTGCCTTCAGGGCCTCTGCAGGTCACTCTGCTCCCAGAGGCGCTTTTTGCATCAATCCCATGGTCGCCGCACCCTACATCCTACAGGGTTTGGGCTCAGCCAGGCTGCGTGTGTATCCCAGCTCTGCCATTTGCTCCCTGGGTGAACTTGACCAAATTCCTATTCTCTGCGAGCCTGTGTCCTCATCTGGATAATGAGGATATGTATGCTGCATATGTGTTCAGTA